AGGTAATGGTACAGATTGGCACTCAGAGGACTGGTGAGTGAGAATTCATTTACTGACTAATACAAAGCATTCTTGATTTATTCAAGAACTAAATTTATGGTATATTACAAATGTGACTTTAGGTTTCTATAACTGCTTCTATAAATTTCAAAATTTTAAAGAATTACAAAAAAAGAATTTTAGAACTTAAGACAAAAACATTAGCTAGACACAATGTTTAAAATAGTAAAACTCTGGGAAATGAGCAAATATGGAATCTAAGCCATATGTAAAAAAGTACCATTGGGTCTTAAATGGACAGACTATCTTTGGAAGTATGGTATCATTGCTTTATGAACACATTTGGGGCTAATATATGCCCATTCCAAACCTTCTTTCAACAAAGTGGGGATGCTGTCCTCTAATTATGGCTTTAATGTATTTTAAGTAAGACATACTTTTTTAAAAAATGTCTTTCAAGAAAATCTGAGCAAATTCTTATGCCTTTATGTACAATTATTGGCTGAAGCTGGAGTTAGTCTGTAATCATGTCCCCCAAATTTCTATTAGTGAATCAAATTGACCGCATTCATTCATTTACTCATTTGTTCAAGTACAGGGCACCACAACGAGTCGGCATACTTCTAGGTGCTTGTCAAACAGCAGTAAACAAAACAGGCTAAGGCACTTAGCTTCAGGTGAGGAGAAGCAAATAATAAATAAGTAAATAAATATAATCAAGTTATAATAAGTACTCTGAAGCAAATATAAGGAACAAGAGAGTGAATGGAGAGGAGAATGCTATTTTAGATAGTAGTCAATGAAGACATCTTTTGAAGGTGATATCTGAGTAGAGACCTATACGAATGAAAGAGGAAATCACACAGCCATCAGGAGGAGGAAAGGCTTGGGCAGAGGAAATGGTGGGTGTAAAGGTCCTGGGATGAGAAATTGTTTGTATCCTGTAAACAAGTTGAGAAAAACAAAAGATCCAGAAATAATGATAACAGAAGACAGACTATGCAATTGCATTATAGGAGGTGCACATTAGTTACATTTAAAGTAAGGAAAAATAATTTCTGCCTGAGGGGATCTTTAAGGTAGTAGTTTTGCTAGTTTTCATTAGGTAAGGATGGTGATGTGGATAGTCCAAGCGAACAAATCCTTAGAATTGTCCTTGGAGACCGGTGAGTCCTATCTTTTGGGAGAAATATAAAGATTAGGAACTAGGGAAGTGATGGGAGAGAAAACTGAATAAAGCTGTGTGGGAATGAGAGTGTGTTGAATTCATGTCCTAGGATAAGAAGCTTGTATTTCACATGATAGGAAATAAAAGTTCATTGAGGATTTTCAAAAATGGTTTGACTTGGTATGGGCTAGATTAAAAAAGATTAATTGGGCCATGCTGTACAGACTGTATGGGATGAAGAGGCAGTAATAGCCTAGGGTTGGAGACCAGGCTGACTGTGGCCAAATGGATAGCGTGCATTACCTGACTATGCTGATAATCCTAGAAGTTTCACATCTGTCTTTTCTGTATTAATAACATCTATATCCTTCGTCCAGGTAATAATAAAACACTGCGAGGAAGCTATGTAAGTGGTCCACTCCGCAACTCCACTGATTATTTGGCTGTATCTTTTATTTCTTTCACAGCTGAGATAGGAACTTTCTTCGCCGCTATAAACTCTTTCTCAGTATATTATTTATATTTAACCCATTTTAAGTAAAATACATAAGATTTATGGGGAAAGTTGCAGTAAAATTTCATCTAAGCATAGCATTTTATTAATACTTTTTCTTCTGAAGCCCCTTGGAAAAGAAAAAAAAATGTTATCTCCTGCTGTTGAGTCTTTGGGATTTTCCAAAGGATGAGTAATACTCTTGCCTTTTCTTTACTTTAGAAGAATATGCCTTTTAATTTTCTTTATATATATAATTACTAGAGGAAAAAATATTCCCAGTTAATGACTTTCTGGACTGCATATTACTATATTGAGATGTCTGAAAATACAATATGATATTCACCCTGAAGCCTAAATTCCTTTTTCAATATTTTCATTTTTATTTCCAGGAAAAGAAATTTTACCATCACAACAATTAGGCAGTACCCACAAAAAGCTGATTTCACTACTCTTCCCGTGATTTTTTCCCCCACTTCCACTCAATAGATGGGCTCTTTTGAGCCAATATTTTCAGAAAATGGTAATACTTTACATATGTGTTATACAAGGTCTCCTTCCAAATCTGCAGAGAAGCAGATGTGTTTAGAGAAATTTCACAGGGTTTTAATTTGTATTTGACTTTACAGAGAGCCCCAGTATTCGCTCCAAACAGTATCTGACATGGTAAAAGGCATTAACTTGCGCATGGTTAACATCACAGCCTAGAAGACCACACGATTTGCAATGTAAATTGAATCCGACTTGCTACATTTTATTGATCCTTTATCACCTATTCATGAGTTCAATGTTTTCTATCTCATCATCCGCATTTACTACAATCCCTTACACTACAATTAGTTAATAGAAGATAGATACAGATACAATACCATGGGAAAAAGAGAAGGCAAGGAAGCCCTTAGGAATTATTCTCAAGTCACTGATGACTTCCATGTTGTAGATTCCATGTATGCAACCAAATTTCATGATCAGTCTATGACACTAAGCCCAAATGTCACTATATATACTGGTGTTTGACTTACAAGAGGAAACACATCATATAGATACCAAAAATAGAGTGAACACTGGAAAATCACTTAATCTGTGCCAAGTGCTTTCCATGAATTATTTTGGATACCTTCACAACATCTCTACAAAGTAGGTGCTATTATTATCTCCATTTTGCAGAGGTGGAATTTGAGGTATAGAGAGATTAAGTAATGTGCACCAGGCAATAACAAATTAAGTGCAAATTCAAACTCAGGCAATCTAATTCTGGAGTCCCAGCTCTCAACTGCATACCAACAAAACAGGAAAAAAATAAAAAGCAAAACTTTGTGCTTTTTAATTGCTTGTGGGATCAAATGGGATGGACTGGCTTTACTTCCCTCAGGGGGTTTGATTGGGAAAGTGGAGAAAAATGGGCAAGAGAAGTTTGGCTCATTTGCCTGTACTTTCAGATAGTCATAAATGCTGTTTATGTGACAATTCTATTTTGTTAAAATTCTTGGGCTTTTTGTAAGACTAACTCATACAAATGAGACAAAAGTGCCCAGCTTTTAAAATGTAGCTGTGAAAGAATAACGAAAAAACACAATAGAACCTATTTAAGTTAATCTCATACTATAAATACCAAATATTACAAATGAAAAATGTTCACACGTTACCTTTAGGGTTCTGATATTAACCTCAGCTGATACATTTAGAAAGTGGTGCCACAGCCTTGGGATATGACAGAGTACACAAAGCTTTGCATTCTGTAAATTACAACGGAAAATTTTATCAAATCATCCTTATCTCTTTTTTAAAAGTTTGATTCTGCATTTGTCATAATAATACCCTCTATCAGGTTACCTTCATTGTCTGGTCTCATGGAAGTTGAAAGCATTTAATTAGGTACTTTGATATTGGAATTGGAATTTCTTTTCCTGGGAAATCCCAGAGAATTGGGAAATTCCAGAGAAATTTCACAGGATTTAACATTTAGACAAACTTGGGCAGGGCAGACCTGCCAGAAAGAATTAGATACATGTTTTAGTTGAATGAAATTTCACTTTCCTGGAAGCAATATCCTAATCTACTATTTGTCAACATATCACCTAGGTTACTTTTAAAAAAGGAAAAATGACAAGATAGACTGAATTCTATAACTGTCATGAAAATGTGGTACTGAATTCCTTCTAAAGAGAAGGAACGATATGTCATATTTAAGATTGTTTTTGAAAATCAGATCACATGCTGAAAGCTTAGGTTTTTTATTTACGATAATGAATGAAGTGATACTTTCAGGGCAACTGCATTCTAAGTGTTGGTTATTTTAAAGTTTCTTTCTTTTACCTGGATTTTACAGGTTAAAATATACCTGCGATTGACAAATATGAAGCACGCTCTTAAACAATAATAGAAAACACTTTTCCAGACCAAGTGTCATAGATTTCTCCTATCGATTTCTTCTACTAGTGGATTTTCTTTTTTATTTTGATTACATCACGTTGCAATCAATTAATGTAAGGGTTCAGTTGGCAGGGCCCTGGCCCCCTACTCACTTGTATTTAACATTCACATAGACAAGCTGGTAGGAGGTGGGTAGGTGTAAACACTGTGGTCTAGTTTGTCACAGCCGTCACAAAAGCCGACACTGATTAGCCATGATGAGTTTTTAAAAATCACCTATCCAGCGGCAGAAGATGTGGGCGCAGCCAGCGAGAAGAGGCCAAGGGCAGTGGCGCTGCATTGACACTACTCCCACAAAACGGGCTACAAGCGACGCTTCAATTCAGAGATTACTCTGCCTCTAGCTGCTGGAAACAGAAAATAGGGGGGAATCTGATGGCGAGAGATCTCCCAAGGGAAAAAAACTGAAGAGGCACAGTAAAAGGCTGTTGCCTCCAACTCCTTACTCTCAGTTACCAAGACGAAAACGCCTGGAAAGGGAGCACAGGGACGCCGGGAATAGAGAAACTCATTACGTCCGAGGCCTCGCGGCTCCGCGGCCGTGCCTTTTCACTCACACGCTCCTCCAAGTGGTTTGGTGAACGTCACACGTGACGCCCGGAGCCCTTAACCCCTCCTGCCGCCGCGGGCGCTGTGGGCGCCGTGGGCGCCGTGGGCGCCGCGGGCGCTGCGGGCGGAGGATGTTCGGTCGCCGTGGGGGGAGGGAGGGAGGAGGGCGGAACTTGTAAAGGGAGGGACGGGACCACCACCAGCATCACGTCTGACACTGCTGGACCCGCGCCCCCGAAGCCCAACCCTACCGCCATCTCCGTTCCAGCCCCGGGGAGGGGGCTTGCAGAGGAGGGATGCTGGGCAATATACCCGGCGAGGAGGGGGTGGCAGGGGAGGGAATCGTGGCTCTGAGCGGGCAGGACAGGGTCTGGAGGATGAGTCTAGCTTGATTCGGACTCCCGCACCCGGCCACGCTACGGAGAGAGGGGATAGAGGGAGAGGAGGTTGTGCTGTGTGTGCGCGCGTGTGTGTGTGCGCGTGTCTACAGGTAGCAGCGGCGGCGGCGGGGACCGGAGCAGGGGACGCATCTGCAGCCACCTCCCCTCCTGTGATATTTCGGAGGCGATTGCTCACTTGGCTGACGGATCTGTACCCTCAGGAGATCTTCTCATCCTCTCCATTTTCACGCATCCTAGGCGTCTTCCAGTTTCAAGTGTGTGTTTTGGGTATTTTATTTTATTTTTAAATTTTTTTTTCTTCTCCCTCTAAATCTTCTCGGGAATTCTGCATATTGAAGCAGGTGGCTCCTGGTACGAAATCTTTGGATACATTTGGCTTGCCAAGTTTTTCTCTTCCCCATCCCCTCCCGCTTTCAGAGGCGTCTGTGGTGCTTTTCTTTTCGGATTTATATGCAGAAAACGTATATATGTTTATATACTGACCGCGTAATATATAAATACATATACGCGTGCCCAAGCGCTTGGTTTTCTTCTCTCTTCCCGACAAAGCGGAATGTTTTGGAGCCGATGGATAACGAGAACAGTATTAACAGTCTTTTGAGCCTGTTTTTTAAAAAGGGGAGGGAGCGTGAAGAATTGTTTAACATTCGGCCATCGTTTGGCTGCACACTAAACATCACGAAGTATTTATGGTTGCAGCTCAGGTGCAAACGGGGCTTAGCAAGAAAGGTAAGGGAGCTTCCTGCGTCCGCCGAGCTCCGGCGTTGATCGTAATCCCGGGGATCGCCGAGAACTTCCTGCTCCCTGCCTCTCCCTCTCCTTCCCCACCTTCCAGCAACCCTGCCCTGCTCTCTCCTCCGTACCCTTAACCCTTTTCCAGTGCCGATGGGGTGTGTGTTGGGGGTGGGGGGAGTGGAGGTGCAATCGTGTTAGTTTAAATGCTTCCCTTTTTCACGCCCAGCCGGGTAACTGTTTCCCAGTCCCCTTTTAGCTGTTTTAGGAAATACATTTTGTCTTTTTGAAAAATAATGCTACCTAGACAGCTGTTTGAAACAGCTCTTGGTCAAGCCCTCACATCTATCCTCTGACGAAAATAAAAGCAATAAAAAATAATGAACTTTAATGAACTGGTGGTTTCTTCAGCACTGGGGTTCATGGAACCTCCCCAACGCTTGTTTTCATTTAAAAATAATCCGGGACCTCAGTGGAGGAAATTCAGCTTCCGTTTCTGCATAAAGCCAATTCCTTTTACTTGGAGGGTCATTTACCAGAGTTGCACGAAACAGAGCTGAGTCTAGTGTAGGAGAAAACTACACGACTCTTAATTCCTTTTTAAATCCACCCTTTACAACAGGACCAGTCCCTGTTTAACTCTCCATTCAGGGGAGGCGTTTTCAGACTCGACCTTTTTGGGGAGAGGTGGGAACTTGCCTTTATTTTCTCTTCTCGCTCTCCAACCTCCTTCCTCCTCCGCTCACCATCTCTCGCCCAGGCAGTTTGTAAATTGCCCGTTTGCCCACCCCTCCTGGTGGGTGTTCCTTGCTCTTCTCCACTCCTGCCCCCTCCGTCCTCTCTTCATTGGCGCTTTCAGAGCAGATGCGTCTTCTCTTTCCTTGGGCTCCCTCTCCCGCCTCCCCCCGCCCCGCCCCGCCCCCCGCGCTCCCCACCTGCCCCGCTCTCCTCGCTCCTCCTCCCCGCCTCCCCGCGGCGCCTTGACCCTTCAATCCCGAGTCCCGGCCTGCGGGCGGGGGGCGTCGTGTCCGCGCGCCGACTCCCGGGCGGCCGGCGCCGAGCGCGCGGAACCGGCGTGAGCAGAGCACGTAAGAAAGGCGAGCCGGAGTCGGGAATCGGAGGCCGGGAGAGCCCGTCCGAGCCGGAGAGACCCGGAGAAAAGGGAGAAAGCGAGTGTGAGGCGCGCTCGCCGCCCGAGCTCGGGCGGACGCGTGCAGTCTCCTCCATCGCCTTAGAGCGGCGCCCCAGTCACTGCAGCTTTCCAACCTAGAGCTGTGCCCAGGGATCACAGAGACCAAGAGCCGAGAAAGCGGCACAGAGGTACCAAAAAATAAGGAAAGGATTACGAGAGAGCGGGGAGGGTTTCCTGGCGAAATACGGAGGCTGAGCAGATGGAGGAGCAATGCTGCCTCCAGAAGAAAACCCTTGCCTGACGCCGGGCGGAGCGCAGAGGAGCTGCCTTCAGCCTCCTGCTCTCCCCAGGCCCTCAGGCTGGTTCAGGGGGGTGGCTCTGGCTCTTAGTTTGACAGGGATAAGAAAGTTGCTCTTCCCCACAACATTTCCTGCAAAGTGGTTTTCAGATCTGCGTGGCTCCAGTCAAGATGTCACTCCTTAGATCCCCCGCGATGAGCAGCTAATAGATTATGCATTATTGGGCATTAAACTCCCCTGGGAAGAGAAGGGAGTCCAAACATTTAAAACGGTCTCCACTGGCTCCTGACCGTCCAGCACAATGCTTTGTGAGTAGAAATGAAAAACCACCTGCAGTGAATTTAAAATGCTTTAGGTTGAAATTTTGAATTAGGAAGAATTTATTCCAGAGGAGGTCGTTAGTGTGTTAGAGAGATGAGGCAAACTGTCTAATATTTGATTCATTTGTGATTATTCTAAATCATGAGCAGTTGGCTTCCACAAAGGTATTATACCATTTCTTTTTTCATTGCCAGGCCCAGAGTGATACATGTAGAACTTAGGAAACATGAATTTAGATGGCTAACCCTGTGTCTATTACTCTGCATTTTTATTGATACTTAATATACTCATTTTTCTTCTTTTCATACTGAAACTACAGCAGGCTATTTTTGCTTAAATAGTCATGCTGTACATGAAAATTACAAGATTGCAATGTATTTCTCAAAAATTAATTATAAATAGGATCATAGATATAAAAATACCACTAAGAAAAGATGTGGGTACATGCGTTTGAGTGTAAAACCTATAAAATATCTCGGCATTTCAATCAGCTCTTGCAACCTAGCAGAACACCAGCTTGTTGAAACGAGCTCAGAAGCAAGGACCATGCACATATTTAAAAATTAAATCTTAAATACAAAAACGTTAAGTTTACTGTGCCCTTGGCAGAGAGTGAATGTGAGTTTACCTCCACTGCTGAGGGATTGACAGAGAAAGTGGAAGTTAATCGTCACTCAGGCCTTCTGATTACATGGTTTGATTAAAATAAGTAAGTGTTTCTGTAAGCTTGGCTATTCTACAGTTAGTCTTTCCAATCCTCTTAACATAAGCAGAAATTGAGGGAGTCAGTCTTTCAGCGGACTGTGCTGGAGTTCCTGCAGTGTGGGCTTGAGAAAAGCCCTCTCTAGCTCCCCTCCTTTCTGTAGTCTCGCTCCTTCCACCCCCAAAGTACTTTCTGTCAATCTTACATTTATTCCCTCAGTGGGATTTCATTTTGTGAAATTTTCCTTTTACATTTAGGTATAACGTATTTTCAAATATCAGTGCCTGAATTCTTTTGAAGTTGATGGTGGAGTGTCCACTCACAGAAGGTGGGCTGAGAACTGCGTTAGCGGCAGCTAGAGTGAAGGCTTGACGACTCTTTGCATGGCTGGATGACTTCTCTGACTTTCTGTGGTCTCTTCCAACCCTGAGCTCCTCATATTTTATTCCCACTTGTATTATGTCCACATGGTCATCCAGTGGCAGGAGCTACCTCTTCCTTCAAAGTTCCTTAAATTTATTATTTAAGATTTTTTACAGGACAGTTAAATAGCTGAACCTAGAGAATACAGATATAAATCTAAGCTCTCTGAGTATTTTCTTTTAAAGTTTCCACATAAATTTTAATGTTATTAACAACTTTTTGTGGGACAATATTAATGCAGTTAGGTATGATTGATAAATACCTCTCTGGGTTTCCATGTGTTGAAACAAATAGATATTAACATTTTTTAGCAAAGCAGAGTAATAGTTTATTTCTAGAATTCCTTTTTTAAATTTTTACTCAGAGGAATTATTTAATGAATTACTTAACAAATACTAATTTGCATTTGTTTCGTTTTTTTTAAAGGTATGCAATCTTCCTCTTTTTTTTCTCCCCAAAGCCCCAGTACATAGTTGTATATCCTGGTTGTGTATCCTTCTAGTTCTTCTATGAAGGATGCCGCCACAGCATGGCTTGATGAGTGGTGTGTAGGTCTGCACCCAGGATCCGAACCAGCAAACCACGGGCCACCAAAGTGGAGCATGCGAACTTAACCACTATGCCACTGGACCAGCTCCTAATTTGTAGTTTTTATAAGCAAAGCACAATTGGAATTAACAGTAAGATTTGAGACCACAACAGTTCAACAATACACTTTTGCCACATTTTAAAATATTTCAAAGTGAAGTTTGATGGCTGTTTCCAACTTATTAGATTGTCAATAGGATGATATGATTCCTATTATATTTTAAATATTTGTAAATGGAATCACTCAAGTCCAGTTCACCAAACTTATTTTTTTTCTAAACAGCAAAGTTCTGGTCTGTGGATCTCTTATTAACAAAGGCCAAATAGTTTCTTATAGTTTGTATGCTAATGTCCAGAATACTGACGCATTCAACTCTTCACAATTTACTCGTCTACTTTCTTTTTTAGATTAAAACACTTTCCGCCTGGAACTCCTCCCCAGTTTATTCTTTATCCCATTCAAAGGGCTCTTACTATTTTCCCCAATACTACATGCCATTTTAGGCTTCTTTGCTTTGCTTATGCGAGTATTTCTTCATGGACTGCTTTCCACCCTCCCCCACTCCCTCCAAACTTCTTGCCCCAATTGTGGGACATTTTGTTTCCTTACAGTGGTCTTTCCTCCCCCACCCTGCTTCCTTCCTGTACCCTTACTCTGAGCTCCCACAACGTGTTATTCAGACCAGGAGTAGCCCACCTTTCACACTTCCCGGTGGTTGACTCCCTCACTGCATAGTAAGTTTCCAGAAGTCCAAAACCCTACTTGATTCATCATTTCATTCAGAATGCTTAACCCCATGTCTGAACCTTAAGTAGGCCATAAATGAATAATAAATCTATTATTTAGAAGTACATTTGGGTATGAGGCAACAGAAAACTTGGCTAACAGTGGATTAAGCAAATAAGGGTTTGTGTATCTCACAGAATAAAAACTCTGGAGAAGACAGTGCTTAAACCTTTAATCAAGGAATCAGATGTCTATCATCTTGGTACTTTTCTTTGCATTGTCATAGATCGCTGTTGTGCCTCCAGCATCATGTCTGCTTCCTAGGTGCAAAGAAAGATGAAAAAGAGTTATCTAGGTCAGGATTTCTCAACTTTGGCACTTTTGTCATTTTGGGCCAGATAAGTCTTTATCTTTGTTGTAGGGTGTGTCCTATGCATTGTAGAATGTTCAGTAGCATCCCTGGCCTCTAGCAACTAAATACCAGTAGCACAGCCCACCCACCCATCCAGTTATGACAACCAGGAGTATTCCAGACATTACCAGATGTCAATTAGAGGTAAAATCATCCTGAGTTGAAACAATTGCTCTAGAGTCAGAGGAAAGGAAATTACCTTTTTCTGCACAGTGTAGTAGTGGTGGGGATCTGTTTGGTTCTTGCTTCATAAATGTTAGAGGATTCTTTATGAGATTGTTAAAAAGAAAAAAGAAGAAGAAGAAGGAGAATAAGGGGCAAACAACCCTCCCCCTTGAGCGTTTTTTCTTTCTTTGTGACGTGGACATTCTCCCTGTAGATTTCCATTCTCA